AGGAGAATCATTTAGAAGAGAAAGAAAACAGAGTATCTGGCCTCTAAGTTAAGGAATATGTCCGAGTACTGTTGAATAAAGTTCCCAGTCTGGAATTCATGAGATACTCAGCTATTCCTGGATTTTCAAGCAGCAGCAGGAGGTAGAAGTGCTTTTTCCAATGTGAGTCTGGTTATGAATTTTTACCTTACCTCTTGCATGTAGATCTCACCACTGCTATCCAAATTTCGTTACCTCCTAACCAGATTAGAGGAATGGGGTTACTCTGTAGACCACACAGGAATTTAAGATATTGCAAAATATCTTAACTTGGAGTAGTTAAGACTTGAGTTCCTCTATAGACTACAATAGTTGCCAGTTTGGTTTTGTGCACGATACAAAGCACTGCTGTCTCCCAGAGCACCATTTTAGTAATTGTGATCAGCTGGGACTCTCTAAGAGCACGTCTTCACTCCCTGGCCAGAAATTGATGCTCTGGTGTTTAATTTAGCCAGTCTAGTTTAGACTTGTAAATTGAATGCTGTGGGCAGCTCCAGCAAGTGCCTGTACACAGTTGCCACCAACCTCAGCTTACAGAAAGTGAACTCCAGCTACATATTCTGTATAACTGGAATTGCGTGCCTTAAGCTAACCTTCCAAGTCTAGTCTAGACGTGGCATAACAGTCCTCAGTTTGCAACTCTAGGGAGCAGGAGGCAGGTAAGTTAGTGAAGACCCCTCAGCTTTAGAATTTGCTTAATTCATAACAAGGCATCTTGGGAGACTAACCTAGTCATTGGAGCTTCTCTTGAATAGTGAGCTTCCTTTGTCGATTCGGAAATTCATTTTTTGAGGTGACCACTGTCATTTTTTCTCTTCTGTATTATTTTAAATATATAGTGAATGAAGACAGAGACTATTAATAGATGTACAGCTAATCAGACACATATATTATGCTATAACAAACCATCAATAAATAGGCACTAAATAATATATGTGCTCATGTACAACTATTCTACATTCTCTGAAGGTTAATTCTAATACATTGTTATTGTAATATCTCAGATACTAGTCCAGAGTCAGTAAGTTTTGCTAGTGGTTTCAATAGGAACAGGATTAGGCCCCAAGATACTTAAATAAGAATATTCAAATAAGATTTTAGCAATACCAATTATTATTTTGGTATAATAATTTAATTCCAAATGCTGTCACCTTTACTGGTTCATTTCAGTGGAATTGCAGGCTAGTATGAAAGGTCAAGCCATTTGCAGGCCCAATTTTTTAAAAGCAGAAAGCTATTAAAAGACGCAGCTAAGCGACTAGTTTTTTTCTAGATGCAAAAGTGGAATTTTAATTTTACCTGTCAGCAGAAGCTAAGTTTGGTGCAGAATAAAACTGAATTCATCATCAATTTTCTTATTAGAAAACACTGTAAAAAGGAGAAAGATTCAAATCAGATCTACCTCTATCCATCTAATTACAACTATGTAGATAAAAGATGGGCCAACCTTTGGTTAAGTTAACCATTAACACAATATAGACTTTCCTTACAGACACTGAAATTTCTGATTTTGATTTTTTTCTGGGAAAACCCATTTGTTTTCAGTCTCCAACCTAGAAGCTGATGGCTTCATAGATGCCTTTAAATATGTGATAGAAATGTAGCCGTGTTAGTCTCGTGTAGCTGAAACAAAAAACAGGACTATGTAGCACTTTAAAGACTAACAAGATGGTTTATTAGGTGATGAGCTTTCGTGGGCCAGACCCACTTCCTCAGATCAAAAAAAAAATCTTGATTACATTTAAGATGTCTATTTTGTACTGCGTAATTTGTAGTGCTTTTAAATAACTGCACTAATTAAGTGCTGTTTTTATTAAAGTGTATTTTACCTTTAAAGTTCTCCCTATGCCACCATCAGCATCATGCATCCTGTTCTATCCCCTCTTAGTAATCTGGAAATTATGTTTATCCTACTAATCTGAGACTTTTAGGGATTTTAATGTTGTACGAGACCTATATGTTTTGTTATATGCAACCAGTGACTATGTAAGGCAACACATTAATTAAATAACTCCACTGCAGCCTATGTCTGGGCTGTGACACAAAGAGAGATAGAGAAATAAAGCAATCCTTCCACTTTGCCAAAAGAATTTGGTCTTAAAATAACCAATTTAGGTCTTCTAATGAATAGTGGTATCATAAAGGTCAGCAAACTTACCGGAGCTACTTTAATGTATGTGTGATGCCCATCTCAGAAGAGCATTGAACTTCACAATAAGTAAGAGGAAGGCCCTAGGCCAGAAGGGAATGGGTTCTGGGCTAGATTATTTCAGTGATGCCCTCTCTGGGTTTTTTCATGTCAAATAATTAAATAGTTTCATTTTCCCATCTGATGGTTCTGGAGACTCATGTATTTAAGAGTTAAAATGCAAAGCACCATGTGCAGTTTCAAATATACCTTTGACAAAGTCTATTGCATGAAGCCTCTGCCCCCTGTCCTCCCCCAGCAATCATTTATTATAAAGGGGTTTTATGATACAAATTTGATAATCTCCCATGCACATTGGCACGGTTCTAATTGGAGTTGTAAGCCCATAAAATTCGAGCCCTTTGTTTTCATGAAGGCCACAAGGTTTTAAAAGATACCATTGTGCAGCCTAAAACCCATAAAATTGTCACTAGGGACTGATTAAACAGTCCTGAATCGAAACAGTGCGGATTTTGTCTAGGTCCTTTTCAAGCATAACAATGCTCTTTTCAACTCCCAAGACAAAAGGAGGTTTAAGGAGCCATTCTCTGGGAGATTCTTCTAAGATAACCGCATCCATATGGAAGACAAGGTGGCCAGCAGCAGAGACAAAAAAAGGGGGGGGGGAGAAGAGAAGGGGGAAAACAGGTGACGAGACAGGGCCATCCTCTTCTGCACAGCACCTCACTAGGACACGTGCTGAAATCACCACCGGCGCCTATTTCCTCCCTCCGGGCTGGGCTAGAGCTGTATCTATGAGCTTTTCTTGGGCATCTTGTCCGGCTCTGGAGATGATCAAACCGCTGACCAGCTGATTGAACTGGAGGCGTTAACGGCCCATTTCACAAAGTTGGACTCGACTGAGGTCTCTTCCAGCCCTATGATTGTATAACTGTGGTGGCTGGAGAGAATGTGTCGGGTACGGCTTGGAAATCAGAAAATAAATCTCCTGGGAGGATAATTTCTTCATCCAAAGCCTGCTACGGCTAGAAACGCATCTGGTCTGAACTCGCTCAGTCCAAGTCAATGGTCTAGCATCCCCTCCCCCCAGCCTGTAGTTCAATGAGGGCCCTATACGGTGCATCACCTGGCGCTTCTTATATATAAATGGCAGAAACACAGGCTCCGAATTTAATCCTATTTCCTAGGCGCTTTTGCTGGGAATGAACCGCTGTCCAGCGGTTCGTGCGGACAGCTGCGCTCACCGAGCTCTCAGAGGGTATTTCGCAGGGCTCCAGGCTAGAAGTGAAATCAACCGCATTTGGGGGCATCTTGCGTTTTTAAATCAGTCAAATTAATTTCAGTGGGTTGGTTTGTTATTTCAGCGGGTATTTAGCCAAAGCGATCCTGCTCCTGTCTTCTAGTGCTCGAGGAAAAATAGAAACGGGGGAGGGGGAATGGAACGAGGGAAATAATACTGCTAGATCCCCTCCGCATGCCACTGCTTGAATAGTATTAACTGAGAAGCATCACCGATGTAAATGATGAAGCGCCCCAATAAATAGGATTTAACACAATTTGGAATCATTGGAAGAGAGATCCACGTAGGAGAAAACTGACCAATTGGTTAAAAGATAGGGTGTGTGTGTGTGTGTGTGTGTGTGTGTGTGTGTGTGTGTGTGTGTGTGTGTGTGGGGGAGGGGGCGCTGTGTGTGTGTGTGTGTGTGTGTGTGTGTGTGTGTGTGTGTGTGTGTGTGTGTGTGTGTGTTGGGGAGGGAGTTCCACATACCAATCTTCCTCTACTTGGACAAATTACATGTCACTTTCCCCCGAAACTTGTCAGTGCAGATTCTAAATTAAGATTTACCTGTTACAACTACCCGTCGGCAGAGCAACGAGGGAAGATTTTAGGGGTGAAGGGTTAGTGGAGACAAGCCGGCATTTTAACGTCTCTTTGAAGCTGCCCTCTGGCGATATTTATTCTGCAACTATCCTCAGACAACTTGGGTAGATGTCGTGTATCTTGCTCGGTCGCATATGTCTCTGTTTTCTGTGCAAGATGTAGGAGTCCCATCTTGGGCTAATTACTCAGACAAGCTCCGGATGAAGGAAAAGGGAGTTTTATCTGACTGGGGACATCAGGGCTGGGCTAATATTTCAGAAATCTTCCCCAAAATTCTTTGGGGGGCAATTGCTTGTGTTTGAAATGAATAACTCCAATGGCATTATGCCATCTGTATGCTACAATGAGATGTATTATTTCGCCTTTAAAAAGACTTTTTCAAGTCTGTGGTTAGCAAAGTAACATGAATCCCCTAGAACGCGCACTTATTTTTGCTAATTCTTTCTACTAAAAATATTACAAATACACGGTAGATATAATTCTGAAGATTTGGTTGAAATCCTGAGATGCTACAGCCTGGATCCTGTTTTGAAAAAAATTATTAACATTAGTGAAAATATGTCTGTGCAAATGAGACTGGAATGCAGTAGGTAACATATTCTGTAGCTGAAAACAGAGATTATGTAGGTAAAACCTAGTCGGGAAATAATAAAAACATGATTAGAGCAAGGTGAGACCTCATTAGGCTCAAAAAATCATAGCCCGGAGTGAATGTAAAATAGACTAATTTAAAGGGGATTTTTCGTCTGGTATAACTTCACCGGGTTTAAAGCTAGGTATTTGTAGCAAACTTTGTGTTTTACTGGAAAGTGAGGCTCAAATATAAACATGACATTCATTTAGTACATTTCAGAGACTCTTATTCTTCATCACACACAAATTAAGCTAAGGATGAGATCGAATTTTCAAAAAACCGCTTGTTCTGGAGGGTTTTATTTGCCAAAAAATCGGTTTATTAGTCACTGGAAGAATAAGCTATTTTAAAATAAACTATTTTGGGTACAAACCACTAGTTTTCTGAATGTATTTTACAAATAGCCTTTCGAACTGAAACAGGAGTCGCTTCGGATTTAAAAATATAAGTTGTTTCTCGTCCACCCTCTAAACCCGGTGCCCCCAAAGGAAAACAAAACCCATCCCTGGCTAGTCGTGTTCACAACGTGCTTTAATACAACAAAACAGCCCTAGGCTGCGTCCCAAATACCAGTCTGCATTGGCATGGATTCGCCTCTCTTGTGGATCCACGAGCAGTGGCGTCCGGGATTCTTGATGGGGCAGAGAATTCACTTGACTCTTGGTCCTTTGGGGATTTTTCCTCAGTTCAGCTCGGGAAGGTTGGACAGCATCACCAGTTCCAGGAGAGGATCGCGGGGTGTGCTAAGTGCTGGTAGGCAGGGAAGAGGCTCAGGGAGGCGGCGGAGCTGGGCTGGAAGGGTTGGTACCCTTGAATTGTGAACGCAGTTTGTGTGCTGCAGCCCAGCTTGTCCTGCACCGCTGCGGCTCCCGGGTTGGGGGTGCAGCTTTGGCACGGCTTGCCATCCCTCACCAGCACGGGCACCACCACTCTCCGGAGCAGGGGGGGCTGGCTCAGTTCCGTGCCGCAGGCCCCCTCCGTTTTAGCCCTTTTCATTTTGTACCGGTGGTTCTGGAACCAGATCTTCACTTGAGTGGGGGTGAGGCTGAGCAGATGGGCCAGCTGTCCCAGCTCCGGGGCCGAGAGGTACCTCTGCTGCCGGAACCGCCGCTCCAGCTCCAGAGTCTGGGCTTTGGAGAAGAGCACGCGTCTCTTTTTCTTCTTCTCGGCTTCCGAGCCGTGGGGCGGGTGCGCTCTTTGGGTGGAATCGGGCAAACTGGTCTCGGGACCGCTCTCATCGGAAGCTGGGGACAGCAAGAACAGTGGCAGGGTTAGAGGGGGAGCAACTAGCCGCCCCCACCAGGATCAAGTTCCTACAGCCACACAAATGGGGGAGGAGGAATGCGGGTGTGAGCCAGGTGGTCATGGACCATTCTGCTTGGAATCACTGCGGACAGTAAAAAGCCAGCGCTGCTTAAAAGCCCGAAAGAAAACAAGAGATTATGTCTAAAAACCGGATTAGGGGACAAATTAAATCTCAACTACAAGCTTGCTTAGAGTTTCCACGTGCATTAGGTGAAAGATCGAATCTCTATTTGTGCAACATGCAAGCCCTGCAGAGGGTAATATAATATGCGTGCCGGTGTGCCCTAAGCTTATACCATCTCTCATGTGTCTTTTAATATTTTTTTGTCCCCGTATCTCTTTCCTTTTGCAGCCCCGTTACTTTACGGGGAAGCAAGTTTCGAGGTGATGCCTTAATATTTATGGAGCATGCATACACAGTGCACAGGCTATCAACGTTACCCACTACAGACATTCTTGTGAATATGCCTATTTCTATTCCCTTACGGAGCGTTTATATTGTGTACGGGGGTCTAGTCCGAATCTTAGAGCACGTGTGTTCGCTTTGGAACCCCACTCCTATTTGGTAGCTAGAATTGCTACAATAAAAGAGAAGCACAAATCTGGTCTACTTTAAAGCCCATCGAGTGTAGGGATGTGCGCGTTTACACGCAGAAAGAGGTGCACCTGTTGTCTGTAGATATCATTATCTCTATCCACCTGCATGCCCGGAAGCGCCTTGTCAGTGTCTGCCTGCTGTTTTATTGCTGCAATTCAATCAGTGGTCTCCAAGAAGCCCAGTCGGACTCCTGCGGGGTGTGGGATTGGCCGGGTTATAAAGGTGCCCTGAGCTGCTTGTTCCATACTCACACAGATAGTGGGTGCACCTGTTGTCTGTAGATATCATTATCTCTATCCACCTGCATGCCCGGAAGCGCCTTGTCAGTGTCTGCCTGCTGTTTTATTGCTGCAATTCAATCAGTGGTCTCCAAGAAGCCCAGTCGGACTCCTGCGGGGTGTGGGATTGGCCGGGTTATAAAGGTGCCCTGAGCTGCTTGTTCCATACTCACACAGATAGTGGCTTTCGGCGGGGGGGGAGCCGAGTCCTGCTTGATGGTGCTAGCCTCCTGCTCCGGTAAATCCAAAATGCTCCGCACGGTGAAACTGAGCCGGCCCGCGGCGGCCATGGTGGGGTCGGCGCCGTGGCAGGGACCTCTGGCAGAGCCGCACAACCGCTGCGGGCTCACGGAGATGCTCCTTCCATCCCCCCGTCGCCCAAGTACTAGTGTCGTTTACAGCGGGGCCCTGTTTATATAAACAGCCCTCCCCCCCACACACACCGCCTGCTCCAGACCGTCCCTGTCTCTGGCTGCCAAGCACCTGATTTAGTCAAGTGCTCACGCTCGAATGGGGGTAGGTGTCGCCCCGCCGAGAGAATAACCCGTCACCGCCCAGGGACAGCAGGAAACGGGCTTCATCATTGCAGATGCTGTCTGATTAGCCCCGAGTGGGGACAGATAATGGGAATTGTGAGCAGTGAATAACATCTTGGGTGGCATGTGGTGACCAACAGCCGCCCCCCTCCACCCACCACCAAAGCCACCACCGTCCCCGCGCGGCGCAAAGTGAATCCGCGCTGTAGCATCCCCAGAGCCTGGCCAGCCTCCCCCACCAGGGATTTAGCCATTTGTGTTTTATCCCTGGCCTTTCTTTGCCGCTTTCCTAACGCAGCGAC